ACAACGTACTTTGCGACATCGCTACAGATGCATGCTAGCTGACAAGGGGGTTTCCGATTAAGGTAACCAAGATGGTATCGCAGAGTGCTTGATTTTCTGTGGTGTTTAGAAAAAAGCATCTCGTTGCCGATGTTTCTGAAATTTCCGGGGTACTTTTTATTTTTAATTAACCAAGCATTTTACGTTAAACTTTGTGTATTTTGCCACTGAAAAGTTAGTTATCGATGACAGCACAGCAATGGTGTTTATCCATTGTATCGCAATGCTATTAGTACGGTGATTGTTCAGCGAAACGAAAAATGTATAATTAATCAATTTTATAATGCCTTCGGAGAAAAAAAATGCGTGAAAAAAAAATAGTTAACGGTACACCACTGGAAGATGCATGGCTAGAAGTTGTCGACATGTTGCGAGATAAGCGTGAACAAGTTATCATTTACAACTGTATGTTTTTTTTGTATTCCGCTTGCATGCTGGAAGCGTCTACGTCTTGTCTGTTTTTTTGTTTTTTTTGAGTTTGCGAGACTAGTTGTTAGCGCTTGAGATAAGTTAAACTGGGTCGCGGACAGGAAGTAACACATCGCCGCACCGTAACTGAGGCCAGCAACTCATTTACATATAACATCAACAGTGACTTGTCAATCAAAGAGCAACGTAAACAAAATTTCGGAACTTTTAATCCCATACGCGTGCCTCGGTTCCCTATATTTTAAAATCGATTTTTGAGTATGTTCCAGCATTGACAATACTTCAAAATTTTAACACTATCTAGCCAAGACTGTCTGGGTAAGAAAAAGCAAACAAAAAAAAACTCATTCCAAGTGCCCACGAACATGCAACTTCCCTTAAGGGAAGATTTGTTATATTATATTACGTTTTATTTAGGTCTGAGTTTATGTGCGCGCATGTCATGTGTAAATATCGCGATCTCTGAAATGTCGAACAGTCGCCCATAGCGAGTTGGTGCCTTCACAAATGTGACAATAATTTAGAGAAGAATTATGCAATATAAATACATACAAACAATTGCAAGTGTGGTGAAACAGCTACTTGGGAATGGAGACAATTCTGGATGTTGCAATTGAAAACATTGGCAGGAGATATATTATAATACAGCGTTACAATATGAGTCTTTTATTCACCATAATACAGATATTGACACAAACCCCGGTTAATATTAATATTTGCCTCGGCTTCGCCTTGGTTAACAATGCTACTTTCGTGTCGACAAATTTGTATCAACATTAGCCCGGGTCAATATTTCTATAATATCTCAGTAGTATAAAGTAATAAGGTGTTCAAATCGTCATGATAGTAATCTAATTTACTTTACCTTTTTCTCTGCTATTTCATAGG